ATATTTAAGTCTAAAATTAAAAGCTGCGAGTCAAAATTAAGGGGGTTGCTCTTAGAAAGCCTCAATTAGAATTAGTTATAGGAAATGTTAATCAATACTTATAATCTTAAGGTATGTAAATATGAGCCCATTTTCCTTAGAAAATTCTCCATGAAATCATGCCTAGCCAACCCTCATATGTTTTGCCATATTCAACACAAATCATTCTTAAGATGATTAATTAATTAATTTATGTTAGATGATACGAAGCTTTTCAAAAAAATAGGATGCTTTCCGTAAACAATTAGTATTAATAAGCGCTGTTCAACTGGAATTGGGTTGGATTATTTGTTTATAGCAGTGCTTTTCAGCCGACTTACTGTACCTGTTTTGTATTGCTCAGAGGGGGGTGGAAGGAAATTCCGGAACGAAAACAATGTAATAATGAAATGTTAATAAACAAATAAATATAACTTTTCGTATCTTATGTAATTTGTCTCCATTCTAATACCATGTGCATCATTTATTTCTGATATACTGATACTGAATGAGACCCAAAAACACTTTTTTTTAAATATATCACCCCTTATGATCCCTGACACAGCCGTTTACTTTCCCCTTCCGTAATTAACGTCAGTCTCCTGCTCTCGACCGCATTTGCCAAGCCACCTTTTTTTTTTTAACGTTTTGCGTGCTACCTTTATTTATTAAATATCATGTTCTTTGCACTTAAAGGGACATGTGACATCTCGACAAGCGAAATGCAACTATTTTGAGACAAAAGTTATCAGATTATAACTGTTCTTATAAACTTATATTCTAAATTCTCGTTTTCGTTTAAAATAGACAGATTGTAGATTATATAAAGCAAATAAAATAAAAATTAAAAAACCTGTTTTTAAAAAATGGTTGTTTAATTTCTCTTACCTTTCACGAATCTTTAGTTACAGTGTGCTAGTTTGATATACTTTTTTTAAAGAGAATACTACACCAAACTCTTTCAAATGTTGCATTATGCTCAAAAACATATCATTTAAGAATAACAAGCAGTATTTTACATTTTTCTTAAAAAGAAAAAATATTAAAAATAAATTAGTAAAATGTTTTGAAAATATATAAAATAGTATTAAATTTTTAATATATTCAAACTAATGATCATAAATTTTATATCCTGCATAGTTTCAAAGAAATAGTTAAGATAAACAATTGTGGGAAATTGTGTTAAACCTTTTCCAGGCTGAATAGGTTTCAAAAAAAGTGTAAAGAAAGAAAACAAAAACACATTTTGAGAAAAAATGAAAAAAAAAAAAAAAAAAAAAAAAAAAAAAATTTAAACACTATAAATTTATATAAAAAATCATTTTAATATTTTACTGCACAAAAATAATCCTGAAATGACATTTTTATATCAAGTTGTTCTTGTTTTATTAATTTATATTTCTTTCTGGCAATTTTAGAAAGCTTTTTGTAAGCAAGATGGGCCTCACAAATTCTATCACAGCCTATTTTTCGCAAAAATTTTACCAAACTCTGTTTGTATTCCTAATAATTTCATTACTTTATTGCCGCTTTGTACACCATCATTCAAACATACTGCATCTAACAAATCTAATTTTAATGTTATAACTCACAAAAACAGTTTTTGGTATGCGTGTCCAGATGCAACTATTAAAACTTTCATTCGGGTTTTGAGTTCTTCCATAAATGCAGTTTGACAATAGGTTTTTGCTAGAGAAACTTATAAACACACATTTAAAAGTTAATACAATAAGTTCTGGCAAAGAATGTATATGAACCAGCTGTTTCACCAGATGATATGGCTTTATTGTAACCATACCAGACATTTGTCCCTTCTAAGCTGGTGGACTTCCTAGTGCTTGTTAAAATGTTTTGAAAATCATATAAAAAATAGTAAATATAATCATATAAAAAAGTGTAATAAAAGATTTTGGTCTTTTAAAATTTCGAAACTTGCATAAGTTATATATTTTTAGAATTGTCTCAATCTACTTTATTTTTTTAGCCCAAAAATTGAAATTTTGATATCATATGTCCCCTTAAACCATAAAATTCAATTCAACAGCAATATCACAAAATAATTTAAAAGGAATTTCCGATACACAGTCTGGTGCGATGGAGATAAAAATGTCCCCCCCACACACATCCCCTACAGTGCTGCCTTTGAAATTGCAGAGTTTCTTAATCAAAAACTTATAAATGCTTTACAAAATATAGATAATAAAACAAATTCCCAGTTCCAAAATTTAATTTCCATATGCCTATATTCGGATGGAGGATTACGTTATTCAAAATTTGATGGCTCTAGGTACCCTTGTTTTTTTATCACAATGCGAGAAATATACATACATTTATGCAGATTCTTCATTATTTAATTTCTTTAAATATAGTAATACAAAGCTCTAATATTTGCTGGCAACAATTTGAAAAGTGAAATGCTGTTTACAGTGAAACACCACAAATGCCAAAACAAAATTAATAGTCCTTCTGGGTTAACGCTCTTTGGGCTAATAAATGATTAAATAAATAAATGTTCAAATTCTAATAAAAATTGTCCAACATATTGGGTGTCATGCCCCAAAGCAATGTACCAATTTCACCTCCTTCTACATGAACCTGATAGCTAGTGGCATACAGAGTTCATATGCATTTTTGCACATGGAAATTAAGTACTTTTAAAGTCCATTAATAATAATAATAATAATAGTAATAATAATAAATTAAGGCTTAATGAGAACTGAATAAATTCAATTAATGATATATCTATGCCTGAATTTCACTTTTGTAATACCATCCCAACAATAAAATAGATCGTAAGTAGAATGCATTATAATTAAACATAATTCTAAAATAAATTTGAGAATAAAATCAATTAAAAAAATTATCAAGTAGCATTAAATATTTTTCACTTAAAATAAGCTGGACATATTTGAAAGAAGATTAGTGGCATTTTATTTACGTTTCACTAAGCTTTATGTTGATTTTTTCCTTTATGCTTCGTCATGCACATGCTCAGTCTAGAGGTTTAGTAAATAGTAGGTAGATTTTGTGTAAAATGGCATAAATTAAAATGAGAAGTAAAATCATAATCAGTATGATTTGTAACAGAAGGTTGATTGTTACCACTACTGCTGCTTGCCTAGAAAGATACCTGCTGATCAGAGCAAACCTGAAAACATGATGTAGGCTCAGTTGATAAGTTTTGAAAGTTAGTTATGCTCTGTCTGTCTGATGCAGTATGTGTCATAGCTCGTGTAGAGTTCCTGGTGTTCCCAGTTAATAATACACTTTAAGGTTCCAATAAGCTACTAAAGCACCAGAAATGATAAGTTGTTTTGTATTATTTTAAGTCTCACTAGATGCAAATAATGTTTTACATTCATTTTTATATTTTTGTGCTGTATCTTGTGACCACGGTAAATATAAATGAAAGGCAATAACTTGCATTAATATGCAGAGATAACATTTTAGGGTAAGCAGTTATTTAATTACAAATTATTTAGGTAGTTAGATAACCTTAGTCATTATAGATTTACATGGCCACTATTAAATTTTTGTTTATGTTTTAAAAATATTTGTCATAAGAGCGCTATCAAAAACACAATTAAATAACATTTCGCAGTTTAAAATATATATAATTTCTGACATTGAATCTTAAATGATATTAGGATAATTTACACATTAGAAACTACAAAACATTTATGTTTTGTAGCAACAACACACAAAAAATTTAAGCGTCTTTTTAATTTTGTAGGGATTATTTAAATTTTCTAATATTTATTTTTAATTTTGAAACTCTTTCCTTTAAATTCTTGTTTTTCTTCTACAATTCCCTGCCAAAATAAGATTTAAGTATTGTGTTTTATTTAAATGAAGTAAAACCAGTATTTAATGGGTAAATCAGTCACTTCCATAGAAACGCTCAGAAGTTCTCAGTACAGCATGTTCTGAGTTTGGGTCAAGTCGTTGTTTTAAGCCTATCTTACTAAGTAGAGCCAAAGTCTTACATGCCTGTTACTATTTGCCAGTGAGGTTTAATTATGGGCCAACTCAGTTAGATATCTCTATACAGCTTCAGCTAAAGTTTAACTAGTTAGAATTAGTTTAGTTTCTTATTTTCTATCTTAAGTTAAAGCCCAAGTGGAGGCCTTCCTTTAAGACTTAGAAGGGCTGTCTGCTAATATTTCTTTGAGTGAATAAAAGGATATTTTAATCATTCTTTGATATTTAATTTTATAGTTGTACAAAGACCAGAGAATAGTCACTAGACACTTTCTTAGAGTTTTAGAAGCCAAGGATACGTAAATTAACCAGAACTTTATAATTTGAAGCCTTCCCATGCAATTTGGCTAATTTATATCAATTTTGTTTTTTTTTTTTTTACCCTTCCAACATGCGTGTTTGGGAATTTTACATGAGCACGTGCGCGTCGTATTTTTTACATCTGTTATTTTACCGTTTTTGGCAAGTAAAATGACAGAAATGAGTGAATATTGATAATAAATTTGTTAAGAAATAAACTATTAACTTTATTATTGAAAAATACAAATGATGTCACATTCAGATGAAAGTAAATTATTTTTAAGTTCTTATATTAGTTAGGTGGAAATGCAGTGATGTATTTCATAATAGAAAATTTAAAACTTATTATTTAATAACTATATTTTAAGATCCAAGCTAATTTTCATATTCATCAAAGGCAAGTATAGATAAATAAAAAAGGAAAATACACCTTGGTAGCAAAAAAAGGTAAGTTTAGCATTACTTACTTCTGCAAGGAAACTTACTTCTTACTAGTCACAAAATAATTTAAAACTAACTTTAATTTTAATATTTTTATTTATTTCTAAAAAATAGAAATAAAAAATAAAGAATGGTAATAATGGAAACACAGAATTCTAAAGATATTTTTCAATGTTCAAAGTTCGCATTGCATTATTCCATGCAAATAATTTCAGTAATAGAATGACGTTTGCATGTGTATGTAAGGCATGTCTTGCATTTCATAAATGCTGATGATCTCTTTTTTTCTCTGACACACAAACCACATGTTCTTTGTTTCGATGAGGATTGCTTTGGCACTTCATCATTAGAAGCAGCATAATTGACATAGAAATGTTGGAAGGTAATGTTTGGATTTTGGCGTGCGAACGAAGATGCTCTTTCATAAGACTAATAGATAAATTCTTTAGGAACATCCTTCGGCATGGAGCTGTGTTAGCTGGCTTTCCAGGCATGTGCAAAACCTGGGCATTTATCCCAGTAATATTCAGAAGGCTGAAAAAGATAGCACAAGGCCATCTCCTTGTGATTCTCGAAACTGAATAGGTTGCACACAATTTATTGATGGTGTCCACTCCTCCTTTTGTGGCATTATAATCCATGATTATTTCAGCTTTATTTGTGGTTGTGTCAATGCTGGCATCATCATGCATAGTAGAAAGAACCACAGAGTTAAGGTTTTCAGGGCCATAGTTAAGAGCCATAGTTAAGGTTTTCAGGGCCTGAGGACAAGTGAAGATTTTGCGCCCTTTTCTGTGTGCCAAGAATGGAAAATATTTTTTTAGAAAATTTTGTAACATCAGTTTGGCACCTTCTGGATGCTGTGCCCGGGGACAGATGTCCCCCTTTGCCCCATCCTATCTACACCACTGTAGCTTTGTTTCTACGAGGAACATAAGAAACACGGACTTTGGCTGGCTGGAAATCAAATACTACTGTTCGCACCATCCGTCTCTTATTTGGTAAAAATTCCTGTGGAACTTCCCTCTTATTTTTTTCAATGTTTCAACAAGTGTCAGTTTCTTTTGCAGTAAATCATTTGCAAGTGGGATGCTTGCGTTGTAATATTTTTGCATGAGTTTTCAAGTGGAGAGACCAACCTTTTCACAACATCCATAGTACTGTTTGCAACAGCTTAATAACCACTAGGTTGTGCTCCACAATAAATTTCAAAGCCATATATATATAAAATGTTTTTGAATTGCACAAGGCATACATTTTTATCCCACACTTCGATGGTTTACTAGGCATGTAGGGAATCCATTGACAGCTTGAGAGAGATGCAGCATCTCATCAATAGTGACGAATTCGCCCAGTAGCAATCACTAAATTCTTTTAGAAATGATTCAAAGATATTCCAGATAGCTGCCAATTTGTCAGTTTTACATCTGTTCTGTCTTGTTGATTTATCATCAAATCGAAGACAACTTGTCAAAAATAAAAATCTCTTGAAGTTCATCACAGCTCATGTATGTTATTTCAATTCCAGTCCCATCACTTGAGAACAATTCCTTTATATTTACACGGCATCCTTTTTTTATTACTATCATATATAATAATCCAAAATATGCTATCAATTCCATGCTTAAGGTAATCGTGCAGTCTCTGTCTCTTGAGCATTTGCCTTTTAGCAAACTCACATGTTTATTTGTACATTCCAAAATTTCATCAAGCATATTTATATCAATTATTTTCAAAAATAATCCTATTAAATCCTCTATATCCTTGCATGGTGTTTTAGGCCTGGTAACACTTTCACAATACTTATCTTTTTTGTCTTTGAGCAGATTGCATACTTCTGTTTTCGCCACTTGGAAGATTTATCCTTAGCAATATAGATCATATCATCATCATCAATCCTTTTTTTATATCATTATTATTAACATTATCCAAAATATTATTCAGATTCAGTGCTGATATTATTTATTTCTCTATTTTCCTCACTCAAATCGCTATTGTTCTCACATCCCAAGGTTTCCTTGTCTTCTGTTGTACCTCTTACATACAGTGAAGATAAGTCTGGCAACAGCTGAGGGGGAAAAAAAAAAAAAAAAAAAAAAAAAAATCAAAATCAAAATACCTATAGAATATCATCCGCTGCTGCCATTCCAGCACTGCCAAATTTTTTTTTTCTGCAGCTGTTTCCAGACTTATCCTCGCTGTATGGGAGAGGTAGAACATTCATTTAAACATTTAAAATTCTGGAATGGTGTTTAAAATTTTAGATGTAGAGTATTCACATTGCTATGTCGGAGTCCAGTGGCAGTCAGGTGGATAAAGTAAAAACCGTTTTTGCTCTCATCACGACATAACAAAATGGCGAGCCAGCCAGGATTGCAATCCTGATTCTAATGTGTTGGGATTATTATATTAATATACTTGAGAAAGTATTATGTTTGTTATATTATATTATTGTAGAAGTAAATATTAATTTTAGTGTTATTTGCAAACGTAATGCATTTTATCATCTGCAATGTTGAATTTCGTACAGTCAAAAGTCGTTAATCCGGACTCGTCGGGACTTCGGCGATTCCGGATTATCGATTTTTCCGGATTATAGATCATCAATTAAGACACAATAACACGCCGAATAAATACTAATTCAAAAGACAAACAACAAAAATAATCCTATCTTGTTCATTTGCGGTTTTGCAGCTGAAGATGGTGATTCGGTAAAACCATTGAAACTAGTCCTGTGAAAATTTGGTAAATATAACGCTGATTTTTGTTGTTTGTCTTCTGAATTAGTATAGATCATCAGTTTAAATCTGGTAAAATGGCATGCAGAAATTATAAAATTAAAAATATGAAACCGTAATTTACGAAATAAAGAACAATTATGATCTAAAGGGTATCAAAATTTACAAAAAAAAAAAAAGCTTAATATTTATTTTTGTTTACTTTATTAAACATTTCTTTCAATGTAAGTTGTTTAAGTTGCTTCGTTTTTTATGTGATAATACATTCTCTTTAATTCTATAAACAGACATAATTTCTTGTTCAGTTACAAAGTTCCGCTGTTCCAGTCCTATAATTGCTGTGTCGATAATACGGACTAATTTGTCAATCGAAATTTTTTCGTTTTCAATAACCTCTGTCACTTTCTTTGCTATCGGAAGCGAATTATAATGACGAGGCATTTGATTTAAATCATATCAAAGACGAGATGAAATACTACATTGAGTAAGCAATTATAAGCCAAATAAAATAAAAACATCTGCCTTTAAGATAAGGATAGTGCTGACGGATCAACTTCCAATTCATTGCACACCGCCGCGGCGTTAAAGATAAACAAAGTTTAGTTAAACAAACGTTAAAGTTTAGATAAACAAACATTAAAGTTTAGATAAACAAAGGATATACCTTTATCCATTTTTTGCAGCAATTCCACTTTTTGTTTAATGGACTCCGAAAGATACTTTCGCTTTGTATATCCTTTACATATTAGTAAATATATATCAGAAATTCTATTTGACATAATCGAAAGTTCAAGCTTACTTTTATAAAATTGCTCTAACAGTCTGCAAAAAATAATAATCCGGATCCAATTCGAAGATTAAGGAACAACGCAATCTGCAACATTAACTGAAATAGATAATGATTTGCTTGTATGGTAAATAAACGGTGAACGTATGGGATACAGCAATTGAGCGTAATTTACGGGATGCGTCCTGCTCAATTTTCAATCGAAATGCTATGCGTTAAATCGTCTGCAGTGTAAACGTAGAAAAGGTTATGCGTTAAATCTTCTGCTGTGATATTCAAAATAATTTTGTTTTGCTGTATTATGAATGTTATGACATATTGTTATTCATTTTTATTATATTGAGTTATATTTTTGGAATTGCTGAGTAAAGACGTTTTTGAGGATTTGTCGGATTGATGATAACATTACAGATTTTGAGTTTTAAGTGGGTCTGCATTTAAAGATAAAATGGATGTTGATATGTTGAAGAAAAAGCGTGCAACGGCACGCAGTGCCTTTACTAGGACGGCTAAGATTCTAAAAACCGAACTTTGTAAAGATGTTCAAGCGGATAGAGATGTATTGAAAGACAAAATTTTGAAGTTGCAGATGATAATTGCTGAGTTGAGATCTTGCGATTCAGAAATACTAGATTCAATGATTAAGGGAAAAAGCCGCTGAAGATGATCTGGAAACAGAGGTCATAGGCTGCGAAGAATATTCAGATGAGTTTATCACGCTTAATCGTCGGGTGAAAGAGAATATAGATAATGCGGTTGACCGTAGTGTCAATACGAGTTCTAACACGGATAGTAGCATAAGTGCTTCTAATGAAAAACGGTACAAGTTGCCGAAAATTCAAATTAAAAAATTCGATGGACAATTATTAAGTTACCTTACATTTTGGGGTCAATTTAAAAAGATCCATGAGGATAAGGAGCTTAATGACGTTGACAAATTCCATTATTTAGCTCAATCAATGTTACCCGGAACTCTCGGGCTAGTGAGTTGATAGATAGTTATCCTTTAACGGCTGAAAATTACCCGAAAGCCATTTCTGCGTTTGAGGAGCGTTTTGGAAACAAGGAAATTTTAACTGAGATATATGTGAGGGAATTGTTAAAATTAATTATCCAAAATGTACGCTCACAAGGGAAGGATCGGTTGCCGCTAGTGTCACTGTTTGACAAAATCGAATCCCATCTCAGATCTCTAGAGTCTTTAGGCTTAGCCCTGGATACTAATGTTTCCTGGTTATATCCCATGGTCGAGTCTTGTCTGTCTGCTGAGATGCTTCGAGTATGGCAGAGAAGCGTTTTGTTCAGTAAAGAAGGATCACGTCTCACAAATCTCCTGGAATTTTTGCGTAAAGAGGTCGAAGGAGAGCAGAGAGTTAAACTAGCTAGGTCTGGATTTGAAATTTCTTCTACTTCGCGCAATGAACATTCTAAAGATGTAAAAGTTAAGACCAAAAAACCAATCGCTAGCACAGCAAGTCTACTTGCTGTCAAAGAACAAAAATGTGTTTTTTTGCGGAAAATCTCACGAAAGCAAAGAATGTTTTACAGCTCGATCGATGAGCTTAAAGGAAAGATTAGACAAATTAAGAGAATTAAAATGCTGCCTCCGCTGTCTTAAACCAGGGCATTTTGCGAAGAAGTGTCCACAGTTTATTCAATGCTATTTGTGTAGGCGATCTCACCCTATAATTTTATGCCCGGAGGTATCAGAAAACAATGCTGACAATAAGGAAAAACGAAACGAGTCAGTAATGGTACAAAGTACAATGTCCTCTCCCTTATGTATGAATGAAGTCACTCTTATGACGTTAATGGTTGAAATAGTTGTAGGCACTGTAAAGAAGGTGGTCAGGTGCCTCTTGGATTGTGGATCCCAACGATCTTACGTTTTACAATCCACAGTTGAAGCTTTAAATCTGAAAAGCACTTCCTCTGAGACTTTAACTCACGCGTTATTTGGCGGAACAAGGACTGAGTCAAAAATTCACAAGAGATATTCTATAGGTCTAAGCCCGGTTGGGAAAAACAAAGTGTACCAATTTAGTTTTCTGGATCAAAATACCATTTGTGGAGGCATACCACGCATACCTAAAGGACCGTTATTGAAGGAATTAAAAAGACACAGAATTTGGATTTCAGATGTCGGTGAGGGTCACCCGGAAATAGAAATCCTCATAGGGAGTGATATTTATGGGCAAATACTTACTGGTGAAGTAAT